GAATTTTATTTTTTGACATTTCATTAGTTATAGCCTATTTTTTTTGTTGTTGTTTTTTCTTTAATTTCTATAGAGTTCTATCCCAAAACATTGTATTCCTTATATTTCAAAAGAATGGTCTAGTTTGACTTGACATGAAATTTTAGAAAATAAAATTTTTTTAATCTTGTGATTTTAAATTAAAGTTATGTCAAATGTACTAAAATGTCTTTTTGTATTATTACCTTAAACATGTCAGTGGAAAACTGAAATTAAAGTGATACCGAAAAAGGAAAAAAGTCATTCTTTTTTAAATAGATTAAAAAAGAAAACAAGTTATTATTTTTTAAACAGAAAGAATAGTAAGTTATTGACATGTCTATGTTATTTAAGGGAAAAAAACATGTTTATATATAGTGGTTCCCCCATACTTTTAGTTTAATAATTTATGACCTCTTGTATTGAACATCGAGCGAGAAATAATTTATTTTTATTTTTAAAAAAAGGAAAGAACAATGTAGCCTTCATGAAGCCCATTACTAAATGCAGATCGTATACCTTTCTTATATATTTTTTAAATCGGACTTTTTTCTAAAATTATTACTTGATTTATATGACAGTGTGATAAAAGAAAATAACATAAAATCTGTAAATTATTTATCAGTGATCTTTAAAAGATTTTCTTTGATTCAAATTATAAATAAAGATAGAATATCATTTGCTCGTTCAAAAGTGATACTCCTAATCTTTAATAGTTAATACACAAATCAATATCTTCCCATATCAGAAGTAAGATCTTGAATTGTAAACTTTTGCTCCAACCCCCTCTCTCTCTAGTGACCAAAGCTTCGTCATATTTGATAGAGTATTAGGGTAGGAATATCATATTTGTTGAAATTATTTTATTTTTTTTATATATGGAGATATGTATCAAAAATATTAGGCTCGATTGAACCTATAACAAATAACACTATAATCACCAAGCGTCCTGACTTATATCGATGGTAGAATATAGAAAATGATGCATGATTGTTGTATATATAAGTAGGCGTTTGAATATGGGATTTCATATCGCGATATGAAATTATGAGATGAAATCAGTGTTTGGACATTCTGTTTCACGCTGATTTCATCTCATGATTTTATATCATGAGATGAAATCTCAAATTCTCCAAAAATCACGATTTGGGATTTTTTTCAAATATAAAAATTGTCCCACAAGTTTATATCTTGTAAAAAAACCCACATTAATTTATATAGATCTACTAGCCATTTATTTCATATGTAAATAAAATTTATAATTCGTCTCATTACTTTCTAAACCGTTTATATCTCATCTAATGATTATTCTACCTAATATAAATTTTATTTTTATTTCAAATCAATTCTTACCATTTGTATTCACCAAATTCAGTATATTTTTAATAAAATTATTACTATTTCATTCAAATCAATGTTTAATGAAATAAAATTTGAAGATTATATTGAGAGTGGACAAGACTAACCACTTTGCCATTAATTGAAAAAAACAATTTTCTTAGCTTCTAACAACTTGAACACTACAACTTATGTTCAATTTATTTCTTTTTATTCTTAAGGTTTGATCAAATAAATGTTGTATTTCTTAGAATAATTTTGTGATAGTGTATTATGCTATTTTAATTACTTTTTTACTTATTTGGTAAGATTGTATAAAGAACTGGGACAATTTCAATAGCTTTACAATTTATGGAGCTTTTATATATGAGAAAAAATACAATATCAAAAGTTCAAATCACACGTCTAAACAAAACTTCAACTTTATTTCATGATTCCATATCCAAACGGGCCCTAAGAGGGAGTTACAAGTTGAAGCATGCATGTCTCCGTCGACGTGCCTACTTCAACAAGGATATTTTCGTAAAATACTTGAATAATACTCCTCATAATTAGTATTTTCGAGGGTTGTAAATAAAAATATATCACAATATTTTGAGACGGATGAAGTATCATTTATAGGACCAAAACACAATATTTTTTTCTTTATGCTATAAAATATTTTCACAAAGTTCCCAAAATTTACAATTACCATAGACTTTCTTTATGCTCCAATACAAAAGTTCAGCTCTCGATCCTTCAATCTTAGCCTCACTCAAAAAAAATATCAATTGAATAAAAAATAAACAGAATTTGTGAATTAAATGATAAATGTAAATCACAAATGAATCCTAATCTTTAAAAGAATAATTTCTCCTTCCTAAACCTCAAAGAGAATTTGAATTAATAAAATTTCTTCAAAATCCTCATCTTGAACAAACTGGTTCTTCAGCAATAGTTTCCAGCAATGGCTTCTTCGATCTACACATAGATAACCTATGCTTAAATTGTTCACTTGAAAAATCTTCAATATCATCCAAATTCAATTTAGGCAAAGTCGATTTTTCATAATAATTCCCCTGTATCTGTATCTGTTCAGTTTCTGCAACCAACGATTCAGGCAAGATTCTTAAACTCCCTATTGACATCCTTTTGGAAACAGAGTTAGCAGTAAGTAACAGAGCACCCATATCAGCAGCTGATACAAAAGAATTCACTCTTTTCATTGGAAACATAACATAAACATTTCCCATTTCAAGATCTTCGTCAGCATTTAGCGCAGAAAATCTCCTTCCAATATGAAGTGACCTAGTGTTTACAAGAAAGAAATTAGGAGTTTCCATCATAATCTCTGCTGCTTTGATTGGTTGATAAAAATGCCTGATTTCACCAGATGGGAATATAACTTTTACCCCTCTTGATTGCTTGTTTCCTCCTGGTCCTGATAAAGTGCAAGAAATATAGTTACCCATAGTACAAGATTGAGCTTTTTTGGATTGGAGAAAATAGAAGAGATAGTTGTGTAGTCTTTCTTGTAAATGAACTTCTTGAGAATATGATTTTTTTGAGGATACTGAATGGGGTTTTAAATAAAGGGAATGTTGGTAAAAGGATATAAGGAAAAAGTCAAAAAAATAAAATATTATTAATTAATGAATAGAAGACAGTTGTAGTTATAAAGAAAAAGGGCACATGACAGTTGACATCCGCGTTTGATAATACATTGTGTACCCGAAGTTGAAAGGAAAGTACGTTTATCTAGTTGGTTTCTAACTTTCTATGATTGATGTTGAGGATTTTTATCATATTTCTTCCCTTTTTTCTGTTAAATGCGTGTGGAGGCCACTTTTATATTTTTGGTCTTGCTTTACGTATCATTATTACCAAATTCTGGTGTATGTTTACTTGTTTTCATAATATCTGGATGCTACTCCTATTTACTAAAGTTGATAGACGCAAAAACAAAATACAGTTGCTTTCATCCCTATTTATTTTCTTTACCTATATAAATGTGCAATATACTACTCCAAATATTATTGATTGAAATTTGAGTTCCAAAAAAATTAAGTAAGGATAGAAGGGTAAGGTTGCATCATTTCTTAATGCAAGTGGTAAGTAAAAATGTGACATATAAAAAGGAACGGAAGAAGTAAAATTTAGATCTCGATTTCCTCCCTATGTTGGACCAAAATGGCGGTTTTTGATGGTTGGAGGTACGTAAATTTCAAATGGGTAACGAGAGCATTATAGAGGTTAGGAGAGTTAGTTAGAACTTAACATAATAAGCAAAGAACTTGAATAAAGTTAAATTTGTTGTAAGTGGCGTCAGGCATGCTGTTCAAAACTCCACTAAGTTCGAATTTGTTTATTTTTACTTTTTCACTATTATTTAACACCATCCTTAAAGCAACAATAAATATACATTTTACTATATCACATTTTGAATATAATAAATTTAATACTTTAAAAAAATACTTATAAGTAATAATAAAAATAAATTAGAAACTAAATAATAAATTATCTGTTTCATGTTCTAAATTGGGAAACAGAAAATGAACATCTAATTTAATACTATGAACAAGTAAAAATGGACGGATTCATCTGGAGATGAAAATATCATGAGTGGAAAAGGTTAGTTTTAAGCAAAGCTAAAGTTGAATTTTGGTTTCAATTATAACATACATTAAATATCCAATTCCCAAGAAAGAGCAACTCCACGAATCGTGACGGTATAGTAGCCGCGTTACAAGATCATATGCACAATTTTCATTACCAAAGGACATTAGTAGTATCATTATTCTTCTAATCCTTCATTAAAAAACACTATTAATTTTTTTTTTGGAAATTATTAGTATTAGCTTGCTTACTAATCATTGGTTGTGTACTAATTAATTGATTTTTCCATGTTACTATTAAATGGCGTTGTTGAGAAATCATCTCATATTCACATAATAAATAATAGTATATCCTAAACTCACAGTCATCTTTTGCCGTACAAGGGAATCAATCCATGGGAAAATATATTTTTATATCGTATGACATTTTCCCAAAAATATTTCACTTTAAGCTGTAAAATTCCAGATCTCCACGCAGGCCAAAATTACGATTGACATGCAACAACAACATACCTTATGTAATCTCACAAAATGAAACTGAGAAGATGGGTAAAGTGTGTGAGGTATAGAGGTTGTTTCACCCTCGAGCTCAAAAGAAAAATAGTTTAGAAAAAGATTTAATGAAAGTACAAAAACAGTACTACAACAATAATTCTATAATAATCAAACAACACGGAACAACAGATAGTACGATTTACATGCCTCCTAAGTTAATTGAAGCAATAATTAACCGTTTGACATGTCCTTAATTCCAAATCACATTGCAGGGATGAAATTTAAAAGGTAGCATTTAGTGATAATTAGAAAAACTACACATATTCAAGTGATCCATTAAATTTAATCCAAAATGACTCACCCGTGAGTGCTAGTCTCTCTTTGCCAAATCCTAAGAATTAGGACGGCTATCTCTGCAAAGTAAACCTTAGAACAGACTACATCTAAGTCAAACAAAAATATCTTATTTCCCACTCCAACAATTTTTAGTATTACTAATTTTAATATGAGCAGGTCAAAGCATATTTATACCAAAAGATAACTAACACAAAGTCGAGCAAGTAAAATTTCCTATATACATTATAGTAACACAAAGTCAAATACATGAAAGTCAACTTGGGAATTTTATCAAACTCATATTCATGAACCAGAATGAGTTCTTCACTGACTTTTTCAAATTTATGGTGTATCAAAGTATATCCATCACTAGCAAATTAAATTCATTTACTTGGGGCTTTTGCTTTTATTACACGGCGGGCAACCTGTTTTTCTTGATAGTAAAGAGACTTCTTCTAGGATTTCTATCACTGTAGCAAATGATGGCCTTGTAGAAGTAACTGTACTCGTGCAGTCCTCTATTAACCTGAACAAAATAACAGTATGTTATCAACATAGGCAGAGCCAATAACTGAAGCTTACGGGTATGGGATTTTGGTCCTTTTGAGTTGTTGATTGGGATCTAAATTCATAATTTGAGCTACAATGTATGTTCGAGTTCTTAGTAGCCTGTATTTCTGATAGTATGATCATTTAAACGTATACTGAGTTGCTCTAACCAGATAGTCTAGTATCACTAAACCTCTTATCAACATGGATCATGATGTCTATGTATGAATTACTTAGAAGCTGGTTTAGTGAAGAATATACTGAGTTGGGTAATAAGACATGTCTTGGAGAAGTTAAATTAAAGCTTCAAGATTGAGTGATTGACTTACTGAAGAATTCTACTCGGGTATCGACCTGTATAAAGCTTTTTCTCCAAATCTACAGACTTGATATGCATGGTCTCAAAACTCCTGTCAGTTATTTGTCTTCCTTCCAGCATCTGCAGCATTTCCAGTGTTAGTACTGAATCTTAATGGAAACTCATGTGATAATAGTCAAGTCAAGTAAGAATAAGTAAACAGAAAGATGACTTACTCTAATAACACAACAACTTTTCACTGGCAATGAACCAAAGAAAAAGTTCTACCAGTACAACTGACTACTACATGGACTACATCATGTTGAGTTTATGCCTCAAACAACTTTAGATCATGCTCATTTTGTCACTATTTTTCTATGGGTTTGAGCTTTCACTGTGGGGAAAGAACTTCCATCTAACGGGAAACAAATTTGGCACTCAACTAAAGAACGTTAATGCCAAAGTTTGGAATTGAGAGGATCTGAACTCATCCTCTTGATTACCCGACCAAAAAAATAAATTCAACTTTGTCTAATCCTAGGTATTGGGTGCATCCAGCTAGTCCTTCTTCAGAATATGTAATTAAAGTTGAATCCAGTTACCCTTTTCATGACACATAAAAAAGGTCACGATCATCCAGTTCTTAATAAGATAATATTCAATTTTCTTGTAGCTTTTCAAGTTAGCACTCTATAGGATGCTCATCAAACTAGTAAAAGATCATGAAAGATCGCCTGAATTAAGTAGCAGCATTAGTGCTAATAGCAAACTGAGTGGAATTCCAAAGGTAAGCTAAAATAACAGATCATTTGTTTTAATTTATCAATCTATCAACATTTTATGTGAATTTTGTTATTAGTTTTAAGAAGGTCCAACAAACTCAAGTTAATCCAAAAGTTGGATCAGTTTATGCTCAATAGTTGGAGAACTCCTTGAATCTCCAACAAAAAGCAGTAAGAAAAGGGGAGGATTATTGCAATATGCTGATTGCATATATGATAGGAGAACTCCTTGAATCTACCTGGTAAAAGATGAGGCCAAATGAATAAATATCTTTGCTAATGTCATGACACAGATGGCTGATTAAGTTACATCCGTTGTTTGATTGACCTGTAAAAGAAAGAGACTGATTATAAGCTGCAGTATGTGACCCAAAATAAATGAACAAACAAATAAGCAAGAACCAAAAGGTCTTCATACAACAGTCCTGATTTGCATATATTTGATTATCCAATATTTGAACCCAATATTCACCAATCTTTAAGTGCCCACATTCATCTAGTAACAAGTTCCTGGACCAAATTAAGAAAAGACTTCAGTGAAGATGACAGCTAATTGTTCGGGAGGACATATGCTATATAGCTTAACTACATTATTTTAGAATTTGCTTCATAAACTAAACAAATTAGTGTCCATTTCATCATATATTGCTTTGCTGGCATGTCAGAAGTCACACAGATAGAAATAGCATGGTAAAGTGGGTTAAAATGCATTTATACGCCACCAACAGTTTGACATCTCTGCATCAACATACTAAAAAAATATTGAACAAATGCATACTTGCACCATTCATTCAAATGACCAATATGTTAGTTGAAACCTAGACATCCAATTGCATGTTGACTCAAGAGTCCTATTGATAATTGGAATCAGTTAAGATAAAAGGCATTTTCATGTCTTCGATAATGAATATTCTGGCAATAAAACGTGAACATACCCAAATGCTCTGAGTTATGAAGTAATAAGATAGTTGAACATTTAAGAGGATAGAAATCTCAAGTCAGATTAGCAAGGCACATAACGCAAAGATGTAAATGACCTGCAGCTTGACAATACTGTTACAAACAAAAGAACTCTCTAGAATCCATTGCAGAAAATCATAGACAGACAAACTGAAAGAAAAGAAGCACTCGGTTTTATCTAACAACTATCTATTAGTGATTAAACACCAAGATACAGATACTAGAATAATCATAATAACTCAGCAAACAGAAAGACTTAAACTAGAGGTCAGTTATTTTCCCTGATCCTATTTTTGGAAAGCAGACTCAACTACAATTCCCAAGTATAGAAGATAATAAATACATAAAAAAATTGCAGTGAGATGTTATTAATAAGGATAAACGAATAGACATACTTCAGATGCAAGTTATTGTGAACAATAGGCAAGGGCTTGTGCCGATGGAGGTAATTCATTCCCCTGTGTTCAATGTGAGCACTAATGTAATTTGTTCTTCACATAATAAAATGAAATCAACCTAAACAGGAAATAAGTGGAATGTTGTACCTAGCTATGTCAAGTGCATAGCGCAATGCAGTTGGGGGGTCAAGACGCTTTCTCAAAATATCTTGCAAGTTTCCCTGAAATATATGGGAAAACATAATAAGAAGTATATCATATTCAGGGACTATCCTTAACCATTTTAGCAATCACTGAAAGATCTTGGGAGAAATTTTTTGAAGATCAATGTTAAAATTTAATAGGCATAAGTTCCATAACAATTAGCACCCAGGAATATTAGGTGATAGTACTTTGGCAAAAAATATCTATTAATAGTACAGCATAGTGAAGGCTACAAAATGCATTTATTTCTGCATCATGTCTCACAAAATGATTATTGAGTGCCGTCCTACAAAAAAAATCTGAACTGTTTCTGCCAATATTATTGAGGGAAGAAACAACATACTTTCGGCAAATACTCTGTGATCAAGATCATTTCATCACCATGCACAATTGATCCAAGAAACTGTAAAATATTTGGATGTCGAAGTTCCCTCAGTAAAGTATTAACCTTAGCAGAAAACACCCTGCATCAAGTATATTGGAAAAAGTTAAAAGAAAGAATTAATCCAGAAAGCCTTTTTAAATAATTATAGTAATAATAATGACATATAAATTGAATGCCTTTTGATTACGGTTTTAACCACCCATGTTCCACGCCATTTGACCTTTTCAGACTCCCCAAATAAGCCCTGTAAAAATAACAAAGGACTGAGTTCCTAGAAAGTTAAACGCTAAGTAAAAGAAAGAAACAGCCCTAGGAAGCCCTAGAATATACTCAGCACCATGACATCCCAACCTTTGGATTTCCATATTAATACCTGCTCAATTATTGAAGAATGCTGCAAGTTCAGTTCAGATATGTCAATATTCACGTCAATTGAATCCTCTTCACGCCGAACAGTCTGCATGTCATAAAATTCAACTTGTCATATCAACGGACGTTTTCTTACTCAGATTGATTAGCAAAAACAACAAAGGAGTAAACGGAAACCACAGTCATGAGTAAATTCTGCACTAATAGGCTTGGAACTTTTATGAGTGAAAACTTATGGTTTTTGACTTAACAGGTGCTTGTGTCCTTGTATTTGGAAGTAAGTTCAAGTATATCCCCCAATGTTGTGGGGTCCTCTATTCATCTACTCTCTGGAAAATAAGCAGTTAGTCCTTCAACAGTGAAACTGACAGGGCTCAGTTACATTCTTAAATTCTGCTACCTTAGCCCTTCTTCATATCATCCCCCAAATTCACATTGCCAGAATGGAGTGATCTTACAAGGTAATGCAGAAAGAATTGTATGGCTCTCGGAAGGGATGAAGGCTTGAGAAGTTTATGTGAAGTAATTGATTGGTTGCTTTGTTCAACAAGCAACAGGTGAAAGCTAGCTATATCCCAAAGCAATGACATAGGACCAAAAATGAGTATTATGCTTATTTTGTAAGATAGAAAGTGCAATTTTGACTTAGCTTTATAAAGGAAGACTTCATATTTTTCCATAAATTGTCAACAAAGGTGACTAAAACTGCAATGTCAAAGATAGAAGTTTCCATTCGTGAAGTTCAACCAGACTTCACTTTGACAAGCAGTCTGTGTAAACAACATTTAAGCTAAAGCTACACTCTACCAAAGTTAAGTCTACCATGTATGTCTCAAGTATGTTTTCAGGTGCAGAATTCATAAGATGGAGTTTTATTTGTTTAATGAAGCTATTGTCAATATCTTAAGCACCTGAATGACATGATATGATATATACAACTCTTATTGGACGGTAAGAACTTGATGCTCACACTAAGTAAATGAAAATTATTAAGATTTGTTCCATATAAGAAATACATAACATCAAATTTCAAAGGATGATCACTGTTAACGATGAACACTTACCAAAGGATGATCACTGTTGGAATCCTTGCCACCACAGACCTCAAGGATCCTGCATATGTCACGGTGCCCGTACAACTTTGCATCTGTTAAGGGCTTAACAACCAATTGAAAGGAAAATAATGATGGTTAATTCCTCATCATAGGAATGCATTAAAAAGCAGAGAGTTTAAGTTAAAACATATGTATACAATCAGGTCACTTCTAAGGTAATTACAAGTTAATCTATAAAATAAGCATCAATTAATAATTGATAAAAATGGTAACTACCATCACGATATTGCACTGTCAGTGTTTGATTTTTACTAAAAATTTATTGCATAGTATCGTTAAATCCGTCGTTATGCAACAACAAAATTTTCCATTTTTTGTAACAACTAATTTGGTGTAATCACATTGTTACCTTATTATTTTTTTCTCACTTTATCTTTGTTATTACCTAATAATAATATTTCATATTTTACCATACCTTACCTTTTTATGATAGCTCTACTCCGTAACCCTACTTTTCTTGTTGTTGTTTTTTCCTTCAAATTGCTTATATCTAACATAATGTAACGGTGTAACTACATAACATGTATAATATGATACATTATAAAACAATATGTAACAACCATGTGTGAACATAAATGAATGGGGTTGTATGCAGTATGAAGAAAGACGAGCAGAGAAGGGTAATAGTATATGAAAAGGGGATTACAGTCCGGTGCCACCTATCTTTGAGATTAACATCAGCCTTGTAAGCCAAAAGAAGTTCAACAATAGAGGCGTGTCCTTCACTAGCAGCAAGATGTAGAGCAGTTCTTTTGTCATAGTCCTGCACATTGGGTGAAATTCCCTGCCTCAACATCTGATTGAGACCAACTCTGTCACCCCTTGATGCGAAACTCAAGAAAGTGCCTATCATCTGCATGTCAAAATGCCCAGATGAAGAATCTTTATGCCGCATCAATATTGTACTGATCTCCATATCTCAACAATTGGAACTTCAAAACTGCCTGATGAAAATTAACATAAAGATAAACGTTTCTTGTCGCCATGGATGGGCGATTCAGTCCAAGAAAGGGGTTTTGGGTTTTAACGAAGTTAGCTTAGTTCTTGTATTATTCTTCGACGTTTCTTGTATATTTGCGTGGTGAAAAAACAGTATATCATTTCTTCATTTTGGGCGTTTCCTAAATTATCTGCTCCTCCGCCCTAGCTAGTTAGTTTGACTTGACACGAATTTAAGAAGGATATAAAAAAAAAAATGAATTTTATGGTGTGATAAATATTTTATATGACTATAAATTATTTAAAATAGATATTTTAAAGTTCAATTGTTACTCATTTAGGGTGTGTTTGGTACGAAGGAAAATGTTTTCTTGGAAGACAAGTAGATTTCTAATTTATTTTCTCATGTTTGGTTGGTGAATGAATTTTTTTTTTCAAAAAATATCTTTTATTTTTGGCTTGAGACTAAAAATTACTCTTTAGGAAAATAATTTCTAATCAGAAAATCAACCTCGATAATTGATCTAGGATCCGACCCCGACACCACTAGGACAAGACTCCGATGACTGTGTCCAAAATCTGACCCTGAGATCTGATAAAGGACCTGACCCAGATTTTTTTAAAAAAAATTGAAATATTTTCCAAAAACATTTTCTTGTATTTTTTTTAAAATGGGTGATAGGGGGTAGGGGGTGGCGTGAAATATGACTTTTTTAAAAATTTAAAATATTTTTCAAAAACAATATTTTCTTAAAACAAAATTTTAACGGGAATGGTTAGGTGGGGGTGGTGGAGGGAGGGGGTAGGGGTAGGGCGTAGCGTAAAATGAAAAAATTTAAATTTGAAATATTTTTCAAAAACAATATTTTCTTAAAACAAAATTTTAACGGGAATGGTTAGGTGGGGGTGGTGGAGGGAGGGGTAGGGGTAGGGCGTAGCGTAAAAATGAAAAAAATTTAAATTTGAAATATTTTTCAAAAACATTTTTTTTACGGAGTGGCCTGGGTGGGGGTAAGGTGGCGTAAAAGATTTAAAATTTGAAATACTTTCAATTTTTATTTTTATTTTTAAAACGGAGGTGGCGGGGGAGGGGAGTGGCATAAAAAAATTGAAATATTTTCCAAAAACATTTTCTTGTATTTTTTTAAAATGGGTGATAGGGGGTAGGGGGTGGCGTGAAATATGACTTTTTTAAAAATTAAATATTTTTTCAAAAACAATATTTTTCTTAAAACAAAATTTTAACGGGAATGGTTAGGTGGGGGTGGTGGAGGGAGGGGTAGGGGTAGGGCGTAGCGTAAAATGAAAAAATTAAATTTGAAATATTTTTCAAAAATATTTTTTTTAAAAAATAAAACATGAAGGGGATGGCCTGGGGAGTAGGGATGTGTGTGGCATAAAAAATGATTTTTTTTAAAATTTGAAATATTTTTCAAAAACATTTTTTTTACGGAGTGGCCTGGGTGGGGGTAAGGTGGCGTAAAAGATTTAAAATTTGAAATACTTTCAATTTTTACTTAATTTTGGAAGGGAAGTCATTTTCCTTAAATTTGAAGAAAATTAGTTGATTTGGAAAACATTTAAGCCAACCAAACATGAGAAAATTGGTAAACATTTTCTAGAAAATGATTTCCTCCATACCAAACACACCCTTAGTCCCTTTTTAGTTGTCTTGTTGTGTTTTTTGAGAGTCAATTTGACCAACTTTCAAAGCTAAATTAGATTACATTAATTAGATATTTGAAACTATATGAAAAATATTATAAGTTGCAAATTTTTTTATAGCAATATAATAAAGAAATACATTTTAAAATGTTAGTCAAATTCATAATATCATTTAACTCTCAAAAAAGAAACTATGACAGTTAAAAGGAGATGAAGAGAATACTGCTTAATATATAAATATGTCATTCTTTTTAAGACGGACTAAAAAAATAAAACCTATAAAATGAGATAGAGGGAGTATTTCATATCTAGTGATGATAAAAGAAATAGCCAAGGTAGTAGTAGTGTTTTATTGTTGTTTTGTTTGGCTGTATACAAATTAATAGTGATGATATAAATATTTGAAGAAGCTAGATATAGATACAAGTCCAATATATCAATTTTTAATCTCAATTTATGTGATATAGTTAAAATTTAGAGAGTTATTCAAATTTTTATATGATGCTTAAATAATTTAAGTTATTATTTATTGTAATTTATATAACTTTTATATAAGTTTTTAATAATATAGATTACTCTTTATGTTTCAATTTACGTGGCACAAATACAATTACAACAATCAATTAATTTTTTTATATATCTTTTAAATGTTCAAATTATTAATTATTGTGATTTATAGTGTTTTTACGTCATTTACAAAGAATATGTGTTACTTCTTTTTTCCCAATTATGTGGTGTCGATAGAGTTTCGACATTCAATTAATTTTTTTATATGTCTTTTAAATATAGTAAGTTATAATTGTCGTAATTTATAATATTTTTTAAAAGTAATTTTTAAATAAATAAAAAGCTAAAGAAAATAAGATAAGTAAATTAAAATAGATAAAAATATAAAAATTATATAAATACAAATGTTCCACCTAATATGACACAAATGTATGTTGACGAAGACACATTTGCTTGTAGAGTCTTCTATATGGGTAGTATTTATATGTGCCCGATCAGAAGCAAAGTGCAAGACACGCAGGATAAAATAAATAGAAACAAAAAAGAAGTAATGTTTTGGCTCATATTGAGACGAGTTTTGTATCTAGTGCAATTTATAAGTGTTGAAATTGAGTTTATATATATAATCAGTCACATATTTGAATAACAATTTTAAAATGATCAAAATATTTGATTTTTTTTCAAGAATAACGAATTTAAAAGTATCTTTGTAAAGAAGAGGAGGAACGAACAATATGTGTGAAACGCAAATTCAAATTTATTTATGGAAAGGGACTCTTAAGAATTAAATTAGAAAAAAACAGTTAAGCATAATTTTTTTAATTGATTAAACTAAAAATGTTTATAAAATTAACAACCTTAAGTTGAGGTAGTGATGTGACCACAATTTTTATTGAAAGGTTCAAAATGTGAAAAGCAAACACACAAAAAAGTCGAGAGTAGTTCAACATCTACTATATATATTATCTATAAACAACGTAAAAATATTGTGCTTGTATTTAATTTAAATGCTAAATTTTTTTATTACTTTCTTTTTGAAAATACAAAAATATTAGGTAATAAGAAGATTAAAAGGACAAATAATAATTAACTTGCTTTATACTTACCTTATAAGTAGAATGAAGACTAGATTCTTACATTTCTTTTTTTTTTTTGGTCAGAGATTCTTATATTTCAATAATCTTGGATATCATGGAAACAAATTTATTAGGTTTCTTGTGTTAACACAAATTTCAGTAGTATATATAGACACACAAAATGGATCTAGTTCAATACACAAAAAATTATCATGGAGGCACCTTTAGAAGTTGTTAGGGATAAAAAGACAGGTGATGTGTTGTTCTACAAAAGATCTCATCCTCCTTTTAAGACCGTTTCTCTTTCAATTGATTCTCCAAACAACAGTTCTATTGATGTGTTGCCATCGAAGAACGAACATGTGATAGCTAGCAATTTTCGAAATGCTGCGGCTGCTGAACAAGTGTCATTGAATTTTGGCGACAACTATGGATTTGAGCAGAATTATCTACTCTTGGAGGAAAAATTGTCTTCTGCTAATAGTCGAAATCAAGAACAATCTAAGATATTGGGCGAACTGGCAATTGCAATCGCCACACCAGAAATCCTTGAAGACATAAGGAGCTTAAGTCAAGATGTCTACAAGTTATCTTCCACAGAAGATATGCTTAATCAGTTTGAGCAGCAATCTTTCTTTTGATTTGATTGGGATAGCCAGAATCTAGAAATAATTGATTTAAGAATGACTTTTGTTTTAAATCTTTCATATGAATTCAAAGTTCTTCTATGCGATAGCAATGAATTTGAACATTATTTTTATCTTCTATGACAAAACAATGCTACATTCAGATTATTTCATAAGTTAGTTGATATATATATATATATATATATATATACTCCTCAAAATTTGAGACCCTATCGATAATTCTTACATAAATAGTTACTATTTTGGAGTGACTTTTAATCTTTAATTTTTATTCTTCTCTCATTCAATGAAAATTTACAGATCAAAATACCTTTAATTATGACCTAATTTTTCAAGATTTAACTTAGAGATTTTTCCCCTTTTTTGTCATATATTTTGTAGGAATTCAATTATTCGACATAAATGTGTAGTATCTAATTCACTCAGCATTATAAGTTTAGAGGACTTTTACCTTGTGGGTTAAGAACTGAACGTATACCTCTAACGACATACGTGTTATAGGAATAAGTGGCATAACTTGTTATTCCTTGTAAGACATAACTTATATTAGAGTATGATACAAAAATATAACATAATGTTTACATATTCAAGTTTTCAATCAATGTCATACCTAGATAAATAAAAAAAATTAATTAGTAAATATTAATATAATATTAACACAATAATTTAAATATAATTAAAATTATCACGCACATTAAATTTAAAAAGTGTTCCACAAATTAAATCACCACATACAAAAATTCACCACAAAAATATAAAAATATAAAAGATATATTGATAAATATGTATTTATGCAAAGAATGGTTGGTCTTAAAAAAGAATTTCTGCTTTTGCTTATGTTTTTTTTTTTTTAAGAAGCAGAAACTTTTAGCTTCTCCAACATCAGAAAAACTGCTTCGGCTTCTAATCAAAAGCAATTTTATTGATTAACCAAACACCTTAATTTTTGTAAAAAAATATTTTTTGTCTCAAAATAAGTACTATTGACCCCAACAATAATGCGCTCTAAGTATGATGCATGGTGATAGTTTACTTACTTTTTTTTGCTATACATTATTTTTCATTTTCCTAAATGACAAATCATGATGTATCAATCGTATAATAACTTATTTCACAAATATTTAATAAAAAGATATATAAATGGATGTGAACTGTGTGAACCATATTTTAATTCGTTTTAACATTAATCATTTGTGGTCCTATAATATGTAATATTAGAGTCTTCCGAAAATCCTAAAA